TTATGATTTTGTTCTAGAAATTCAGATTATGACTGTATATCAGTTCATATTGTTCCTGCATGCTGTTTCTGTTGGTAGAGAGATCCATTTGAAATGAACATCATCTTGTACTCCTCTTGTTCTGAGGAGCAGAGGTTGTAAGGAGAGCGATACAGGGAAAAATTCCTGTCTTTTCTGCTAAATCTACTTAGACAAAAGTTTGTGCAAAAGTTTCTTTAACTGAGCATCTTGAAAATGCAAACAACAAAGCCATTGGGAATGAAAGTGGTTTTAAAAGAGATTGCATCCATTTTTTGGTACAGTTGGATCTCTATGGGCATCATGGTCTCGCTTTTTAAAACATCTGTTTTAAAATGTATGTGATGCTGAAACTAGTATTGACACTAATAATTTCAGATTATGAGTGGTTATTGCCGTCGGTGCCTTGTGACAGTCTATGACTTGATTTTAATGTAATTTAAAGAGACCCAGAGAAGAGGGATCATCCTGGGGTAAAGGTACAGGCTTCCTTTGAGATTCTGTTTTTTCCCACCTTCAGATTGTGATAGTGTTATCTTTCTGGTTCCCCAGCCTATTCTGGATGAGTTAATTAGGCATGCAAGGTTCTCAGAGTAGTAATCTGTGTTTTATAGAAACGTATGCAGTAAGTAGTATTGCAGATGACTGTCTCAAAAGACGTTCAGGTGAAAACATAGATCCTGTTCCTATATTCTGAGGATCTAGAAGAGTAACTCTTGCCTGCTATGAAGTGCAGCTGGTCAGAGCTAAAAGTGACTATGACAGATAGGGAAGTGTCCATTTAATAGTGGACGCTCAACAGCAAATTGCTTGGGATTTCTGTTGTACTTTTTCGACTGTGATTGAAGATTTTATGTTTGAGGGGTTTTTTACTTCATGCAGGCAGGGTTGGCTTGTATCCGAAGGATAGTTCTTGGAATATTCCTTTGCTGAAAGTAGCCCAGTCATCATACTGCTCTGCATCCGGCATAATTTCAGAAAGGGTATTCTCTAGGAAAACTAAACAAATCTTTACATTTCCAGGAATATAAATGTATTCAGCAGAAAGAAAACCATTCTTTACTCATCTGTGACTGATTGGCTTTTCTTTAAGGTAGTTCCGAGAAGTCTTGGAAGCCTACAACAATTTTACCATAAGGCTGTGCTTGCCAAATAGTTGTAGCTTTATCTGTCAGAGGCTGGAGGGGGAAAAAAACCAAACAAACCAAACAAAAAAGAGGATTGGGGTTTTTTGAAAACCATGAGTGATTAATGTGTAGTTGGCAAAATGTAAATACCTCTTTAATAACAATACTGTGATTAAGGCTTTAAGAAACAAATCTCCTCCTTTCTAAAAGTGCAGTTCTATCACTTCATCCAAGGCATGTCATTCTTCTTTGGAAGCTGTCACTTTAAAGTGTAATGTCTGTGGGAGTGATTAATGCCTCGATGTATTTTTAATCTTCATGATATTTGCAATTAAATGCTAAATTGCAAAAACACTACAATAAAAATGGTTGTTCTCATTATTTTATGGAAGGGATGCAGAGGGGAAAAAACATCCCAGAACAGAAAGAGTCAAAATAGGACTACATCTTTCTCCTACAGGTCATTAAACCAGGCTTTCACGTGTCTCAGAACAATCCAGATATTCTGATCTCTTCCCTAATGGCAACTTATTATTACCTTAGTCATTGGAGGAGGTTTACAAATAGTCTTTGAGAGAATAAGCAGAACCTCTATTTCTTCTCTCTTGTAGGTGAGCATCTTAATTGTTTGGTTACAAGTCATGCTTCTGTCTGTCTAGTCCCATTAATCATGAATTCTTCCCTTGCACAGAGTTTCAGTAGATGGCAGGAAGACTCTCTGTCCATGAATGCTCTCTAGTTGGATGAGTAGGCAGTTCTTCATAGAGTCTGTACTGTGTGTGGCTGTGGGGGGTGAGGGTGTTAAATCTCTAAGGTTTGAGAATTGGCATAGGACTATTATCCTGGATGAATACCTCTTGGCTTGAAAGATTTGGCTTTAGAGTTGGAATTTTTTTTTTTTTAAGACTGGCTTTTGCAGTGAGGTGCTCAGTTATGTTAGCGTTTGCTCAAATTGGGTCCATTAGGAGTCTGATGCTTTTGAAAACTGGATTTATGTGTAGTGCCGGATTTGTGACCTTGCTGGTATGGAAGCTTTTTTAACCATCCACATGTCTGCAGCTTTTGGTGCCTGAACTTGGTGGGCCTGTCAAGGGGTTTTATGGTGCCTGTGAGGGTTTTCGTCTTGGATTTAGGCTTGTAATTCTGCATCATTCTGCTTGTGAATTTGGGCCCACGTGCCTTAATATGTTTCTGTCATTCTTGCCTGAATGTCAGACTGGCCTTTGCATAACCTTTAGGGCAAGGAAGTGACAAGTCAAGGAAATCCTCTGTAAGCCATAGTCATACTGCTGGTAAACAATTGTGATGCGCATTTAGAAAAAAACCAACAAAACCTTAATTCCACTGTAGTGCAAAACCTTACCTCTGATCCCTCCAACCTTGATGTAAGCTGTAGGTGAACATGCAGTAGCTGAAGAGATCCTCCTTAGAATTGTGCATTTAGAATCCTTTGTGAAGGCAGTATGTTCAGGTGAGTTTCTGCAGCACCTCTCTGCCTGTGAGAGAGGCTTCAGGGTTCTTCAGATCCCTCCATATGGTATTTCCTATGTGGTCCATTTTGCAGTTTCATTCTTTTTTACAGCAGTACAAAAAATGGAAGGTCATTTACTCCTATGGAACTGGGATATCAAGCATAGTGTTTCTGGAAGTACACAAATGCCTTTCTGAACTCCCCTTCCCTGCTGTGGACGCTGAGCACACACAATTAACGTGTTTTCTTTAGGAAGCCAGTTTCTTGTATGCAATGTAGTTGCACTGTCTTTGCAACAAAACTGGCAGGGTGATATTTGTGGTGCAGCTGGCGACTCATTTTTTCATCAATTCCTGCTTCACCAACTAAGCCCAGATGTTTCCTGCCACTGCGTAAACAATACGTTACCTTATTTGTACGGGTTTTTGTAGCCCAGAAAAATAACAGATTGTAAGTATAGCTGAGTAATGTGTAACTTGAGAATTCTGTACCTGTAGTTGCCAGATGGTCATCATTCACTGAAAAAAAAAAAGGGAGTTTTTCCATTAATGTTATCACAAATAATTCTAAAATCCTAACCAGAGGGTAAATAACTTGAATTCAACTTAGTGCTCAACACTGTATCCCTTTTCCCACAGAGCATTTACTTTATCTAATTAACGTAAAATCCACAATGTTTTTTAAATTCAGTTGGATTTTATTGATTATCTGTTCTAATATAAAGCTTCCTTATCTTTTCCCTAGAAGACGACAGAGGTTTTATGATACCACCACAGAAATCACAGTGCCCTTCTCCAGTTTGTTTGATAGTCTGTCATGGATTCATTTGAGTTACTCTTTGAATTATTCAGCGGCACTCAGTAGTTAAAAACAGTTCAGTAGCTTTGCCATCCCCTAAAGGGTGGAACAGCAACTGCCTTACCGCGTCCTCACTCGTGTCCTCCCCGCTCCTCTTTCCTGGGTATGTTTCCTTTCTTCTCTTGCCTGGAAGGTGCCTGTGACTGTAGCAGCGTTTTTTGTTTTCTTGTTTCTGTAACACCTCATCGTCTGCTTGAGATCAATAAGTAATAATCATGAAAATGTATGTGCAAAGCCTGAATCTAGGCAAAATACTTCATTAGCTGCTACTTGAGACCTGAAGCGAAGCTTACAGAACTGAGGACGCCTCAGAAGCTTTCTATATGCATGTTAATAGTGCATATGGGCTACTCCTTCTTAAGACCCAGTGTAATTTGGATCCCTAGGTTAAGCCTTGTCTCTTAAAGAGCAATTGCAGGATGATTATCTGGCGACATTCTGGATCTGTTTCCTGTGTTGCTTATTGTTGCAGAGTCCCTTACATAACTGCTCCGCATTAACCTTGTTTGTCTTGACGACCCGAAGTTGTCAACTCTGTCGTGTAGCCTGGCTTCGCATTGTGGCTTCTCAGTTTTTCACTTTAAACTACATTCTGTGTCCTAGTTGAAAGTTAAAAGGAAAATCAGTGTTCTGATAGTCTTCGTGTAATCACTTAAACCCTGAACAGTTTCAGAAGATTTTTTTTGCAAGTAGAAAATAAATTGGGCAGATGAATCTTTTTGTGAACACAGAGAAACAGCTGATGCATGTTTACTGTGCTATTTTATACTACGTTTTGTCTTCCTTAAAACTTTTTTCCATACAAAGAGTGTAATAAATGATCTTTGTTTGCTTAGTGGGGCATTTGGTTACATTGCTTAGGTACCTTTTGTGTCTGCATCACAATATATACATATTTAGAGAGAGAATTCACATGCGCACACGTACCTGCTACCTTTAATGTCGGGCTGTTGTGGCACCTCTTTGGAGTGGTTCAGCTAGTGCCTGTAGTGGCCAGTCTTTCTAGTGCCTGTAGTGGCCAGTCTTTTTACTCGTCAGCCTGCAGTTTCCAGTTCATGTGGTTTAGGTCTACAGGACTCCTTTCTTCCTCTTGCCATTTTTTCAGTATCCCTAATAAACAAGTCCGGAGCTCTTGTTCATCTAATCTGTGTGTTGTGTCAAAGTATAGTTCAGAGAATTCTTGTACGTTTTGTTTATGTAATACAGTGTGGGGATAATGATCAGATAAGTATATCTGTTCATTTACTGGTCAGATAATTCCAGGTGTGCACTGGAATAGTCTAGTCCTTTTTTATCGAATTACTGTATTTTCCTACTTTTTTAACAGTCTCATGGAATTTCATCAGAACTCCTCCCATACTCTTAAACTGTGTTCTAGTCACTTTGTGTGTGTGTGTGTATATATATCACGTCTGTAACTTATTTAGATAATTTGTGATTAACGTACTTGTTTTAAATTCCTTCTGATGATGACCTCATGTACTGTCATATGACACTGTAATGTTCTCTCTTTTCTTATTTTCCAGCTGTATGGGGAAACTTTGTGAATATGAGGTAATGTATATAATTTTTGTATTGCATATCCTTATCTGAAACAAAATTAACTTACCTTTTCCATCAACATGTATCACTGTATATCAAGTAGGGAGAAAATAGAACAGCAGCTCACACTGTTGTTTGGATGGTTGCTAAGCAGCTGATACCACTTTTTAAATACAAGGTGTTCAGTCTCAAAAAGGGTTGTATGTCTGCTGCAAATCTTGCCCAGGATCTTACTCTCACTTCAGCATCTGCCTTTCTTTACACAAATTCATCTTCTGATTTTGGAGATGTTTTCAGGCAAGTTGATTGGCATAGCTGGGCACATAGGCTTGGATTCTGCTTTTCCTCAGCACAGATCTGACCATATCTCAGTGACAATATAGGTTTAAACACTGAAGAACAGCAGATCCTCCACTGCTTGCCATAATTATGTTTCTGTACCTAGAATTAGAAATGTGGTTTTGAGGGGTTTTCCTCCTCCACAATTAATTGGGAGAGAATCTGATGGTTTAACTGCTGAAAAACAAAAAAATCCTGCACTGCCTCCCAGAATTTTTGCCCTTAGAAATAGGAAAGAATAGTATACACATGCAAAACATGCAGATTTTCACAGCATTTCTGCTTGCATGTGAGTGTTTGTCCTCTGGGGAAATTCACCAGCAAGACACAACTGAAAAAGAAGGTGAAGAGAATATGTGGACAGTCTGTTCCCTACAACAAAGTCTTAGTGCATAGAGGACAAAATATTTCACCATGTTGTTTTGCTAGTAAAGGGTTTTGGTACTCTGTTGCCGTGCTTAGCAGCACAGAGTAAAGAATGTTTGAGGCAAAGTGAGAAAATTAATGAATTTTCTATGGGCTCTGCTTCACCCAGGACAGCTTACCCTGGGATCTGTTCCTGTCCCAAGCTGTCCACTTTACTTCTCTTGGAGTTTCCCACCCTTCCTACAAAGCGTTCAGCTGTTACGCAAACAGTTGCTGAGCTGCTGCGGCTTGCAGATGGAAATATTTAGATTACCGTGTTATTGTGACCAGCAAACTATGGCCGCTTAGCAGCTGTTACATGAGCAGCTGAGCGTTTCCAAAGGAAGGACAAAAACCTCAGAGAGGGGTTTGAGGGCAGGTGGGTGTGGGATCCAGTGTGTTCATTCCCTGATAAGCTGTCTTTATAAATTCTACCATTAGCTGCATCTGACTTCTTATTTGAGGTGTCCATTATAGAGCTATCGAGGGGGAAAACTTTATTTCTGAAGGTCTGATGTTGGTCCTCAGCCAATAAGATTGTCTTTGTTAGGAGGAAGAGCTCATTAAAAACTGAACTTCAGAGTGCCGGTCCTTAAGTTCCAGGATTTGTGAACAAACAATAGTAGGAACCATTTTTGAGGGAACCTTTTTATATTCTAAGTTGTTTTCCAAATTTTCCTAGCTCATGTAGCAGAGAGGAAAGGCTATGTATTCCACAGATTGTTCGCATAGCTTTTTGTAGATTTCTTTTCTTTGGGATAACATTTGAAAAATTCAAAAGAATTACTTAATATTGCTTCCTTGTAGTAAATTCATACTATGTTAACTGGAGGGTTTTTATTTGCCACTATTACAATAAATTACAATTTGTTTTGAAAAGATGGTTCAGGGTCTGTGTGTCTTAGTCTAGGAATTTACTGTACTCGTTACTGACAGGACAAAATGAATCTGGTCAATACGATTTTTGCCTCAGTAATAGACTGAACTGACTTTTTAGTCAGAGAGTTTTACAGAGGGATATGAAGGGAATCATTGCTCTAACTTCTAACAGCGTGGCATATGCACATCTACTTAACAAAGGATCTTCTGTTTCCCCTAGGTGTAATGACTTCAGGTCCCAAGTAAAGCAGCTCTGTTTTATTTGAAAGAACTCCATTTTATGTTGGATACCCATGAATCCTCTAGTATGCAAAAAATTACTACTGTAAGATAAATAATTCCCCTTTCAGAAGGTTTAATTGAAAAAAAAAATTATGCAAACTTCAGGAAAATTGCATAGACTAGATGCAAGAGGTAAAATTTAAAAATACATATTCTACACTTGTAGAAGTTTACTCAAAGAATGAACACAACTAATTGAGATACTTTACACAATTAGATGCTAAATAAGACCATGGAGATTTATGCAAGACACCAGCTTCTTAGACAGAACTCTGTTTTCAGTAGTTACCTTGACATCCTTCAGTGCTTGGCTTCATTTCAAACAAGTAACATTTATGTGCTAACTCAGTATTGCCCATCAGATGGTCACTTAAGACAAGTTTTGGTATAGGGTTTTCTTCCTTGTTTTTGTAGAAGTTCAAAGGCAAAGCTAGACATGTTTGCCCTTCTCTCTTTTTGATGGAAATTACAGTTACAGTTGTGGCATTAAGGGAAATGTTTTGTTAGCATACTTGTAGCATACAGTAAAGAGACCCTCAAAAAGACATCTTAAGCATTTTCATAGTAATGCTACACTCAAAAACATTTCTGCTGACCCTACCTTAGTGCAGTGGTTAGACACTTTTCTACAGTGAAGTTAATTTTCTCTGTAAAATGAATGTCATCTTAATTGTTACTACTCTTTCCTGGGGGCTTGGTTCAGTTTCTGCCAAACTTGGTGACAAGACTAGCTGATTTCAATGGGAGTTGGGCCATCTGCTTTCATTTTCTCTGAGTATGTCTTTGAAATAATACTAACTTGGGATGCTTTGAAGATACTATTTTAACAGGAGGAGCATGATGCAGGTGCAGTGGAACAACTATTGCTTAGGTATGGATTATGTTTTTTCTTTTCTTGCCAACAGGTCTCTTCAAGAAAATGGGGATCAGAAGGTGGAAAGTAAAATAGAGGAGGTTAGTTTGCTAACAGTTGTAGTCTGTTTTGTTTTGAGGACTCCATTTCACTCATTTTGTATTGAAAGGATGTATTTAGTTCTATCTCATTACTCTCCATTCCACTAAAAACATTCAAAGCATTGGATTTGCGTCTACATAAGTTTTTGAACTGTTCTTCACTATAGTGGAGTTTCTGACATAGATCTATGACTCATCTTTTTACTTTTTTTTCCTCTAAACCCTTCTTGAAAGTAATAGCTCTACTGTGTCATTCACTGCAGAGACTGTGGTAGAGTCCTCCTGGGAACTGTTTTTTGTTACTGGATGAAGGATATACACGAATTCTTTCCTCTGTCACCCTTACAAAATGTTAAGTATATGTAAGTTTCATTAGAAATGTGAAACCTCCCAAAAATGCTTTGCTTTGTTCTTAACTAATGAACAAAGGTAGCAGTGTTTGTGGTTGGGGATGGTGTGCAGTACCAATGCTTTAAGCACAAGTCCTGGCAATTTCTGGAGTAAATGTGGGTCTTGAACACACTAGTGGTTCTGAACTTCTGTACCAATACCTCTGATTTTCCATTTCAACCTCAGTTTGTTGTGAATTACTAAGAATGTGTGCAACAGGTCTTTCTCCAGATGCTTTTAGACTTCCAGTCTGATAACAATAAAACAAAGAATTTAATAGATACAAAAGTCTTTGAGGTCAATACCCCCTCCCCTTGTGTGGGTGTGTGTGACAGTACTAATGTAGTCTGGTCTGCCTAGTGTCTTGTATTCCAACAGGTTTATATAGCAGTCGTTCCTCTGGAAACAGCGAGAAGCCCACTGAAATTGCTTAAAATCAATGGAAAGATTGTGTTCTTAGTTTCTTAGTTTGTCTTTTGCATTCCTCTCTCTCTTCCCCCTGCCCCCCCCCCTTTTTTTTTTTTTAATTCTGGTAAGCATTGCAACAAGCATTCTGAAAATCCCAGTTGTTTAAGAATGGTCAAATGCTTGAAATTCAATGGGTAGATCAGAGTTACTGTAAGGTCTGAGAAGTTGAGCATTTCTGGATCTTGTTTTTAAACCTTTAGTTATACAGTACCTTGACCCATCAGAATAAGTATAACTGTTTCAAGAACTACTTGCTGCTCCACAGAGCTAGATATTTAATGAATATAAATGACAATACTGTATTTCTTCTTAACGTGAATATACAGCTTATTTCAGTTCATGAAGTTCCTGAATTGTCTAGCTCTAACCAGCAATATTTGTAGAAAACGAATTAATGGTAGTTGGTGATGTGTTGCTATATAATACCATTTCAAGTGATAACCCTCTGATAGCTTTCAACTTATGTATGGTCCTAGACGGTAAATTTTGTGACAAGGTTTTAGTAAACTTAAAAACAAGAGTTCGGGGACTTGCTGAAATTTGGCAGGACTGTTAGAAATTTGGGTCCTGTGATGAAGAACCTGAAACTGATGCCGACTTAAGTGATTCTCTCTTTCAAAGCAGTGAAAATGCAAACAGAAATCTTGGTAGGTGAACTGTGTTTTCTAACAAATTTCGTTTTAATATTTTTTTAAAAGCCCAGATATACCCTCGAATCCTGATGTAACGTGTATCTTAGATTTTTAAATATGATGTTTCTTTAAATTCACATACCATGTTCTGAGAGAATTATAGCCTTTGCAGTGGAGCTAATGCCTCTGTGTCTGTGTATTCTTATGTATGTGTATCTGTTGTCCATTTAAATAGTTGAGGTTTTACTGACTGTGCTATTGTGCTGTTGCTCAGTATAGATTGCCTGTGACAACCTCAGACAAGTCACTTGTGACTTCGCTTTGCCAAATAGGAATCGTAATATTGGATGCACTTATCAACAAGGCTATGGTACTCATATATGGTATTGAGGTGTTTTGTTTTCAGTGGTAAGCTAAGGGATTTCACACTGTACAAGGTGATTTGATTTTTGGTGAAAAAGGTTCTAGGATTTTTTGACATAAAGGATGCTTTAAAATGCAAGTTTCTTGAAGTGTCTTTAGTGAAGCTCTTCATAGGAGACTCTTTGCCGTGATTTTTGCTCTAAAGTAACTTCCTATATGCATGTTTTTTGATGTGAATCTTGTTCTGTTCTTCAAAGATTAAATATTATTCCTTTATTTTAGGCTATTGCACCTCTAAGGGAGAAAATCAAAGATTTAGAAAAAAGGTAGGTCTTTTTTACTAAATTTGGGAAGCAGTTAAAAAGCACAATTCCGTTTTGTTCCAGTCAATTCTGTAGTTGTAGGCTTGAGATACATGTTTTGCATATACCCTCAGTACCTGTGGATTTTTATCATATCTAAGTGAGGATGGGGCCTTGAGTGCTGAAAGACATTAATGCTTAAGGTATTCAGGTCGATTAATCCCACTAAAGTAAACTGGGAGTGCTGGGGTTTTGTAAAGTTCAAATCCTGTGGAGGAATTTGCTGATTTGAGTCCAGCTGGTGAACGGATTGCCATGGTTTAGTAAGTCCAACCCAGGCGTGTGCTAAAACATACTGGTTTCAACTTCAAGAGACTGATTTTCAGTTTTACCTCACATTTCCCACACGTGTGATCAGTTACCATGGTTCAGCTAATGTACAGTGATTTGCTTGTGAATCTTCATCTGTGCATGTGCTTTGGATGAGCCCAGCTCACTCGCTTCTCTCAGGATTTGTAAGGGAATGTGATATCTTGGATTAAACTGGAGATGCGATTGAGGAAAAGCAGGCAAGCTTTTTGATGAGCTGCAGATATTTAATATGTGCTGTAGTTCCACAAGCACCTTAAATTGACATAGTTGTTAAAAAAAAAAAAAATCTAAGCCTGATCCATTTCCCCCTGGCTGCTTGTGTCCACCCTGCAGCATTTTTTCCTCACTTTTATGCCAGCAGAACCACTTGAGAGCTGATAGTAAGCTGGATGGGGAAACCAGGCATTTCAGCCTCTCTTTGCAAATAACTCCCTCTCTCCCCAGCCTTGTTGCCTTTCCACCAGATCACTTCTCCCATCTGAGTGCCCTCATGGGCAGATGCTTTTCATCACAAAATAAGCTCTGGAATACAGGTGGGGGTTGTCAGCTCTAAGGACGCTGCTGCTTTTGACAGTGATACAGTTTCACAGGTGGCACTGTTACGTCCCAAGTAAACAGCTAGCCGAGAATGCTGCATTACAAAGGGCCAAGTCTGGACTTACCCAAGTGGTACCAGTAAGCCTGGATGGTTAGGTATGGCATACTGGTGGCTGTGTGCTGTTCCTCTGGAGAGGTGGGCAGAATCCCATTGCTCTTGGCCAGAGGTATGCTCGATACCCACAGTGTTTTGAGTTTTGTCTTGCCAGTGAGCAGTTGCCCCCCCTCCTCCTGCCCCTCCTGTGCTGTAAAAAAAAAAAGTTGTCAGTTCTGTTTTTTTACAATTGATTTGAAAGATTCAGTGACCTGCCACATGCAATTTATTTCAGTGAGAATACTGATCTGATTGCTCAGCTCTTATGTAAGCGTGAACTTCATGGATCAAACTAGGCGATGTATTGGCAACATGAAACAAATTGCAGACTGAGTCACCTGTAGTAGTTGCATGTGATACTGCCATACCAGTTGTAATGGTCAAATTATAGAGTAAAGATTTTATGTTCAGATGAAATTTTTGATGTCCTGCCTCTGTTCAATTGACTTACTTAATCTTTCTTGAATTTTATATCTATGTGAAGAGATAGTAAATAACTACTCACTGTCAGATGCCTGAAGGCTGATCCTGCTTGCAAAACTTACTCTCTAGTGTCAATGTGTTTTTTTACCTCATAAGCTGATAAAATCTGAAAGCAAGCCATCGTCATGCTTTTGGGAAGCAGGAAAGACAAGAATTCCTTAATGCTGGTCTCATGACAAGAGATTGTTTAACTGAAGCTAAAGTTGTAAAGTTTTTATTAATAATTTGCACAGCAAAAGCATTGCCGTGTAGTGATCAAAGCAAGCATTAGGTCAGGACAAACTCAACGTTGTTGCCAAAAGATGAACATTCAGCTGGATCAGTTCCAGACTCCTGCTCACTGCCTCTATGCTAGTACTGGTGTAATGGAAAGAGCAAAAATGGTTAGGAGGTCCCTTTGGCAGCAGTATTACTCCGTGCTGGATTAATGTGACCTTAAGATAGTGGTCTTAAAAATGAAGGAGACTGACTTTTACTGTGCATCAAGTTATTTGGCACTTTTTTTAAACTCCATAAGCCTCTTGTTATTGGTGGATTTGCCTTTCTGTCACAGGAAGGCTGTGTTTTACATGTCTGCATTAGACTTAAGCACTGCTGTTTCTCGTTGCTTCTCCACTTAAATCAAAGAAATAGGGTTACTGTTAGTGACCCATGTGATGATATAAGGCGAGTGTGGGTAGCTGCTTATTTCAGTCTTCCAGTATGGGTAACATTGGAAGATTCCGCTGCCATGTTTCCCCTATCCAGAAAACTAAAAATAGCTTTCACTCTGGGATGAAAAGTTGACACAAGTACAGAAGCATCTGTGCGTTGCTTCTGAAGAATTGCTGTTGAGCCAGTACTGTAGGTTAGAAGCAGAGGAGGTGCTTCAAGATCAGGGGTGTAGGGTCAGTTCTGTCAGAGTCTATTTGTGAGTAGATGAAAATGTAATCTCAGCGTGAAGTCTTGGCATATATACCTCCTGTGTGCTACATCCAATTGCATCTCTAGCATATGGACTTACTGGAGGAGAAGAGTAACCATAGTTTGATTTCTGTCCAGTGTCACACCGATATTTAGTTAAGAAAAACCTGAGCTATTAAAATATTGCCAAGACTACAATGCTAGTTACTGAAATAAATAAATTAAAATAAAATTCACACCGTCTTTCACACCTTTCTTCGGAGGAGTTTGTTGCTGTGTGCAGAATGCATGCCAGTGGGGGAGAAAGAAGTGATAGAATTCCACGTCCATGAAATCATCTAAAGTTCTGAGCATCAATTTTGAGCTTGAGAGAGCACCTAAGATTTGTATGTCAGATAATTTTATTTTAGGATGTTTTAGTTTTGATTAAGTTCCTGTAAAGAAGAATGTGCAAAAAAATTAAAGTGGAAGTAAATGAAGACCGTCAAAACAATGGTAGTCTAGCTATTTCTGAGAAGAAAATGAGGATTAGCTTTCATACTGATTAAGCTCTCTGGTAAAAATTGTTGAAGTATCTTAAAAAGTTTCTTTGATATTCTGATTGTAAACTTTACATTGATTACTGTGAAACTTTAAGGAGAATTAAAACTTTGTTGTAAACTTCACATTGAAATTTTAAGGAGAAATGTTTGAAGTCAATGTGGTAAGTCAAAATTCTTTTCCAGAACTTTGAAGGTTGTTTGCTTTTTAAAACTTAATTAAAAAAAAAGTAGTCCAATCCCTGCTCGTGTTTTATTGTCTTGTGATGTCATGCCTGGCACCCATTCTGCTCTCAAAAGATAGAAGTCAAGTGATTCATTCTAGAAAATCAGTTAGGCAGAAACTTTAAGAGCACTTTTTGCAGATCAATTTTGATATTTCTCACAGTGCTTTTACAAAGCATAGGCATTTTCTGATGTTGGCCCAGATCCCCCTTTATTAAAAAAGGGCTAAACATACCCATAGCAGAACTTTAAGAATGGGAGGTTGTCAGAGTAGTTTTTCATATTTCAAAGACAGATACGTGAAAGAAACTTACATAGCTTTTCTTCTTTGTTTTGAAATACTCTGTAGTTTCACCCAGAAATACCCACCGGTGAAATTTTTATCAGAAAAGGATCGTAAAAGAATCCTGGTAAGTTGGTATTTACTTGGGTTGTTTTTGGGAAATTAAAACCAAAATTGTGGAATGTAATCAGTCTTGTAGGATTAATTAAAGACATGAGCAGGAATAAAGTAAATTACTTGTATGTCATATGTGCTGTACAGGGTTTAGAGTAGTACTTTGCTTACTCTGTGTTGATGTTCTCAAACTCGGTGTATGGATAATACACTTGGACTCTGGTTTGGAGGTTTGGCTTCCCAATTAAGCTGCTGTTCTCTGCTTGTAACATCTCAGGACTGCGTTGCCAAAGGATCTTTCATCTTGTGCTCCCAGATGGCTTGAACTTGCAGAGACTGGAAAACTCTTTAGGCACATCTTGACGGAAAGCTTGTGTGACTGAATTGGCCAAAATCTAGTCATAAGGCTAGAAAAGTAGCTGCTCTGCAGCACTGTTAAGAAGGATCAGTTAATTAGACTGAGGGAATGTTCATCTTTCTGTTATCTTCTATGTTGTTTCTGATATTCTGAAGCATCACAGGTGTGTTAGGGTGGAAGAGGAAGGCAGGTTAAGTCAGGACAAATAGTTGTCCAATGCATTCTTAAACTGAGCAAGTTGTTCTTGAACATCAGCTTTCCAGTTTTGTCTACAAACACTTTTGAAGTTAGCTGTGTCCCAATTTTTGTCTTATTTCTGTCTGTCCTGGGGAAAAAAAAAGTCCCCACATTTTGAAAAGGCAGAGAAAGAACAGCTACTGTTATGTGTAAATATAGAAGTACGAATTTCTGCCTCTGTAGTAGAGAGCAGTGTCTGGGACAAATCCCTGCTAAAGTGCCTAACTTATCTGATGTTCTCCTTTGCTTTGACTCTTCAAAATTTTGAAGAAAAACACTGAAAAGATGCAATTAAAAACAAATTTTGTTTTTACTGCTTTATTAGACAATAGTCTTCCCTGCTACTGCAAAACTTCGTAAAGAATAAGTGTCACCAAATCAGTTTAGTTCTTCAGTGTTACTCTGTCATTTTTATGACAGTCTGAAGAGATAGATATGTAGGTTCCCTGTTCCCTTGTTGAATGTAGAAGGTGCACTGAGGAAAACATGAGAAGCACTTAATTCTGAAAATTCCTAAATTGTGTGCTCATGTGTCCAAGTGTAATAAAGTTACCTTAATGTCATGTTTTTTGTGTAAGCAAGAAGGTACTTTAAATAAAAGTATCGGTGCAAGCTGTTAATAGGCTATGGAGCTCTTAATATTAACTTTTAAACTTTGCCTCTTAAAGATACTGGATATTTTGATGAAGTCTGTTGCTTCAGTAGTGATGGCAAGTAGTTGGAATAGGAGTGTTTTCTGGTGACCTGGAGGTGAATAGCTTTTTGGTGTCCATGTATTTTGTAGAGTTTAAACTACTAAAGAGAAAGATGGCCAAAAGGATCAGTGAGTTGTTCAGTCGTTTCTTCTCTGTCGTGGTTGGGGATAGTTCAGTGGGAAGTCAGATGGGCTTTCACAAGCCTCCTGCCCACGTGGGCAGTTTCTGTTAGAATGTCGCTGTCATAATCCTACAGGAAAAATGTTCTTTTGAGTAGCTCAAGTCAGCTTATTGAGGACTCATGTAGACCTTGCATGACACTTGGAAGCTTCTCGGGAGTAAACACGAGAATCGGCAAGCCAAGTGAACTTTGGTAGATGATTTGCTTCATATTTTGTTGATACTGTGTCTTTTTCTGGAATTCATTCTAAATTCTGATTTTTCTCTGAATGCAGTCTCCACAGTGCTGACCTGATCAGACAACAGTTCTAGCAGTTATTTTTTATTATAATGCATCTATTTGGAGATGATTGCTAGCAGGGGTGGTATTTCAGCTGAGACTAGGTACTCTGGCACTTTCATTCAGAAGAGCTCGAATCTTCGTCCTGTTGTGCATGATTTATCTACTGGCTCAGTTCTCTGAAGTGACTAGGCCACAGGCTTTCATATGCAAGAGAGGGAATTCTGTTAATATTATGGATGATAGCGTTGACATTGGTTCAGTCTGTTGTGTGTGTTTTTTCTGAATTGAATGTGGTAGACCAATTAAAGCACAAAATAAAAAAAATTAAAAAAAAATTTCCATATGGGACATTAGATGTTTTGAATCTGACTGCAGACAGCAGAAATGAACCTGTCTAGCAAATACACAAACTTAAGTGCCTCTAGTGGAGGAAATTATCAGTAATAGTTGTGCCTGTTAGGAGATGCTGAAGTTACCAAGCATATTGGCACTACTAAGTCATTAAATATTTTTATTAATGAAGTCTTATTAAAGAATGCCTAGTTAAGCCCCAGGTGCTGGTACTTCCATTGTGATATGGAAATGATTCACATACAGTATATGATTTTGTAGATTAACATGTCATTGTGATTTGCAGGAAGTCATATTTAGAAATGAAGTATATTGACCTTGCTTTTATGGGTGACTACAGGAAGGTTATACAGAGAGCTTCAGTGATAAATAATCTTAACCTTTTTTAATGTAGCCTCAAGTAATGGTAAAAAAATTAATTTATACAGTTGTTTACTTTTCCAGGGGAAATTCAGCTCCTTTTCCAAGTAGTTCTTTATCTAATACCTATGGAAGTGATATGTTAATAAAGCTAACAGAGACTTATCATAAAAACTACATACAGATTTGAAAACTGGAAACTTCTTTCCAGACAAAGTTGGTTTGTGCTTCTTTTTTTTTCTTTTTTGCTTGCATATAGCATAGAAGAGTGCTGTAAGCAGTGCTTGGTTTGGTTTATGTTTTTTTTCCAAAAGGAAGATGGGGAAGAAGGCACCTTCTTTTACTGCACCAAAGACATATTGCAAGCATTGAGTTTGTCTTCTCTGGAATCCTGGAAATAGAAGTAGCAGCAGGGGATTTCCTTGGGCCTCAGTTGAATGAATAGGTTCAGGTCATCTACAGAAAACTTTTGTCCTGGTCATCACAAAGAGGCAAAACCCTTGGAACATTCAGCAAGGCTGTGGCTCGTTTCCAAGTCAGGATAAGCTTATGGCAGTAGGTTTTCCATGCGTATTATTTTTCCCTTCATAAGTGGCGACACCTGGCAGAGGGTTGTTTTCCCTCAGTTGCTGCCCTTCTTCTTTCCTTGTTCACACCATTCTGCCAGAAACCTGTTCTTCCCTCCTGTCTGTTCTGGGATAGTGGGAACCCTGAGATTATTTCTTTTTTTTTTTTTTTTTCCAAAGAGGGCTTCTAAATCCTCTTTCTCCTTCAGGTTTGTCAAGGAACTGAATCATATATGGAATCTGCTACAAGGAAGCCCTGATAAACCCAAAAGAATACTAGATAGACCAACTAAATGATTCTTTTATTAACTGGTACTTCCAATGTCTCTGACACACTGATGGCGTTGAATTTTTAAGAAGAAAAACAAGTGTGAGAATACAAGAAGTGGACATTCAAGTTTTTACAGAACAGATGTAGTTACATTTGTTTCCTTTTCAGTTTTTGATAGCTTTCTGTTTGCCTTTGTGTCTTTCCTGTTCTTTTTTTTTTTTAAGAAAATTTCTGCTAATCTGGCTTTTTTCAACAGTGGATGGGGAGGGAGTGGGCAGGATAAATGTTTAGGCTTTGACTAGCCCAAAGGGAAAGAACTTCAGGCATCTACATCCTTCTCCACGAAGCACTTTGTCATTGTAGCACATCATCCATTCATTTAGATTCCTGCTTGACAATTTCACCATGTCCTTTTGTTGTTTGGTTAGTTGTCACTGCAGCTGAAGAATGGAGATCAACAGCCAGCTGAATCACTTTCAGAATGTGAATTTGATCATGCAGTCATATAATATAGCTGATGCCACATGGGGCTTTTACAAGTCCATTCTTTGAGAGTGGTGATCTGTCGTGTCTTTGTGTGTTCTTGAAAACAGCTTATGAAGTGCACAGAAAATAATTGCTTCCATAGATATATCTGGATGTGTCACACAACTTGCAGTTCTACTACTTACTGTGTTAACTGCTTCAGTACTGAGTTAGTGATTTGTTTTACTGTTAAAGACTGAGGTGCAGAAAGGGAAAAATAAAGGACTTCCTTGCTTCTACATCTGCAATGGAACAAGAGTACAAGTTTTAAAATATTTTATTTCTGCCTATTTCTTTGCAGTAAAATATCATAAAGTTCGAAGGCAAATGCTGGATGTCGGAGCTAGTGGTATGAGAGGCTGAAAACAGAACGATAGGATGTGGGCTATGGATGCTTTAAAACACAAAAGGAATAATTTTGGTTTTAGCAGATATTTCAGATGAGAGATCTTCAAAGACTTGCTTTCATCTAAGAATATGCTTCCTTCCTTCCCTCTATGAAGGGTGAAAGAATTTGTAGTACTTACACCTAACATATCTTCCACTTAAATCAGACAAAAGCTGGATTTGACATTTCTGGTATTAGAAATCTTCCACAAAAATAACCTGGCAGTCTGTCGTCTCTTTTCTGAGAAATGGGAATCGCAGAGAATTCTCCTCTTACCTTTTTGGGTCTTTTTAGGCTTTGCTGTCGCATAAAAGGGCACAATCCAATTTGAAGGAAAAAAGGAAAAAAATCTAATCTGGAAAAGAGATTTCGTTGATGCAAATGGTTAGCTGAACTTCTAGCCTGACAGTGATGAAACGTGTCAAGCATCTCTCTTGAAATTTTAAATGCTGTAAATATTGGATAAAAAAAATTAAGCATGGAAATGGAGTTGTTTCCCCTGGGGTAAGCAAAGACCTGAAAGCTACTGTTCTTCTGTCTTCATGTTTGTAGACTTTTTCTGGTGTTTCTGTAAAAAGAAAAAGAAATTTATACCAACTGTCCTAACGCAGATAACTGGAGGAGCAGGGTTTGTGGGTTCTCATCTTACTGACAAACTAATGATGGATGGCCATGAGGTTACAGTTGTGGACAACTTCTTTACGGGCAGGAAAAGAAATGTGGAGCACTGGATTGGTCATGAGAACTTCGAACTGATAAATCACGATGTCGTTGAGCCCCTGTACATTGAAGGTGAGTAGTCTTTGCTTTGGTATCTGCACTTTGTTGTGCTTTACCCTTGTAAGTATGTATGTCTAAAGAAATTAAATTTGGGCACTGACTTCTGGTTTGGTCTATCTAATACCTGTATGCTTTGTTTATTATTAGCCTAATTTCTGCGACCAGTGTGGAGTGAGAGGTTCAGAGCATTTTTGTCTTTGAAATCAGTTCTTCCTTTCTGAGTGGACAGGAGGAAGGAAATCTTAAAAACTTCCTATTGTGACTGATTTTGTGAGAAGACAAGGTGGCAGTGGGTCAGTCTATCTGTCCCATCTATGGTCTCACATCCCTGTGTGCCTGCGGAGGCTTACGACGCACACAGAGTCTGTGGTCTAGATACGTCATGAACTGGGAAGTTTAATTCAGGGCTGCAGTTACACCAGACGGCACACATGTGTATGGTCGGTTGAGAGGAGAATAAACTCTTTCAGAGGGCAAGTCAGCTCACTTTCCTTAATTGCCTTATGTGTCTTCTGTGGAAAACATTGCTCTTACTTTAGGTACAAGCAATCCACAGCCCGTAGAATAGGAAAATGGCAGCACTGAATTTCCCAAATAAAAAAAAACAAACCAAAAACAACCAAAAAAACTCCCTAAACAAAGACAGAAACAACAAACCATTCTGCTTCAAAGAAGTGAATGTAACTCAACATCTAAACTGTCATAAGCCTCAAACTATTATGCCAAATTGTAAGACAGCATTAACATAGCCGTATTTGAGAGGTATATGCATTTATAGACTTTTGGGAGTGTATAAGTATATAGTGAATCAATGAAAACGTTACTCGAATTACACTGCAGTTCTGGCGGGTTTGCTCCATCCCTTTAAAACTTTGTAGCAATGTAGTTGTTTCATTTTTTTTAAACAAAAAAATGGATCTGAAGTTGTATTTTTTTATTCTTGCTGAATTCTAATGGATGGAATTTCACAGGGAGAATTTCTAGCAATTGCATCTCTTGTATTATTGCTTGTGATGAATTCCTGACAACACTACTGAAACAGTCTTGCAACACATGCTGCTTCTCTGCTCTGACAATGCACTGGTTCAGTTACTGCCTGTTACTTTACTTCAAACTTCTGCTTCCACTGACAGGATAATGGGACTAGAATCTTATTAATTGACTCCAGGTGCTGGTAGCTTATACCTCAGCCAGTTCAGTTTGTCAGCTTTCCTAATCTTTCCCCTGTGTTACCTTCTTTCTGACTGTTTACACTTGAGACCTTCGCAGAGAATTATCATCGTTGCTAATACCGTTGCGTGGTTACTAGGCACTAATGAATGGGAATTCTGAGATCCTTCAGCTACCTCTCCCATGTTCTATGTAATTAAGTCACCAATTCCCCATGTTGTACTGACAACAAATTATAACATGTTATTCAGTGGGCAGTTTATGGAATGTCTTCTCATCCTCCAGCAGCATAAATTAAAGCTGGCGTGGCTAACTGTTAAAATAAAATTAACTTTGATATACTGGTATAGGAACATGATAAAATTTCATTTCAGTGCAGAGTTTATACCAACATAGGAAAGGGGGGGAAAAAAAAACAGGTGAGGCAATGAGGGATAGTTATTGTAACAGATTAACAAGTTGGTGTATGAATCAATACTTCTTTTCTTAGTCCCAGTTTCTCCTTTTTACTTGTGAATAGAAATGGGAATGACTGTGAAGTCATGACAAAAGAAGGTTCATATCTAAAGAATTCCTGTTTATTTGCTGTCCTCTTTAAACAAGGTCATATAAGGATGTTTGACACTTAAATTCCAGAGAGAGTAATCAGTACTTTATTTCTGAAGAAGACCTCATTTCTGATCTAGAAAGAGTAATGTTTGCACTTTTGATATGGAAAGTGGGTTTAGTCTCAAGATGTATAGCTTTCACTAAATCTCTTGATGCATTTTTTGTGTGTGTGAGTAGGCATCACTGTGAAGTTAAAATCTGCCTTGTCTGAGTCATTATCTTTGATCCATGACATGAAGTGGCACTCAGCATTCTTGCATCTTGATCTGGATTGGCCAGAAACAGTAATAAATCATCTAAACACAAATTTTATTTCTCAGCCCTGGGATACCTGTAGTTAACTGTGGTGCTGAATGCCTTTCTTCTCCACTAGGATTTCCTTTGCTTTAACACTTGGAGAAGATGTCAGTAGAAAACTCACAAGAACATAGCTTTCACTTGGGCTTTTTCAAGCAGAAGAGCAAAGGCCCTAAATTCTTTAATGGAATGAAAGTAGTTTAGGAATCTTGAAAGACAGAAAATAGGGGAAGTCTGAAAAGAAAAATTTTCAAACTTTGCATAATTTTTTTAATTGTAGTTGAATTCTGTGTTTTTTAAAGTACTTGGGATTTTTAAAGATATTTTCATTTCAGCCTAACCCTTATGTTGAGTTTTAATCCACTAATAAATGGGTTTTTTTTGGTACAGAAAGACAATTTTCTGTTCTGAAGAGTGGTGTATAAGGAAAAGAATCTCTTATTACTCTTTTCTGTATTATCAGCAAAAAAGTACAGAAATCTACCTTTGCTTATTTTCTGCCTCTCATTCTCTACGTTCTTTAAGATTACAAGCACCCTAAGACGGTTACTTGAGAGCACTGTGGCTCATGTTCCTGCAAACCTTATTGTAAAGACACGCAAATATTAGTTGGAGAACAAATGAGCATGAATTCTTAATCTGGTGTTACTGTGATCTACCCCACTTCATGGTAATAGATAGAATTGCATTAAAAACTACCAAATGAAATTTTAGATTAAATAAATCAAATTTTTAGATTAAAAAGCCTTTGCATTAGGGTTGACTGTGTGTTTGTAGGAAAAAAAAAGTTTTTAAACACTTCTAAGCCACTGCAGTCTGTATTTCTGCTGTTAATTATTGTTATACTTGAATGTGTGTGTAAAAAAAAAAAACAAACAAACAAAAAAAACCTGACAAAAAACCCAAAAAACGAAACAAAAACACAAAACCAAAACCCAACCCCATAAAAGAACCCCAAACCATACACCTCACCAAAACCCCACAAAAATATAAGCCGATTTCAAGGTGACGTGATAAGATGGCAGTCATACCACAAACTGGATTCCTAAAAAGCAAGTAATACCTCTCAGTCTTCAGTCTCGAGGTCTGGTTATCAACTGCCATTAAGTACACACACCTTCTTGTCCACAGTCGCTACAGCAGTTGAATAAAACTGGAAGAAAATGTCAGACAGGTATGCACAGCCCCTGTCCTTCTCCCACTGGCGTTTCTTCAGCAACCTTTGGAAGCCTTAAAACAATCTTTTATAAGGTAATATGTGCACATTCCCTTTACCCCCCCCAGCCATCTCTTGGATCTGAAAGACGTCCTCCTCAGGTGAACTGTTTCACAGTTCACATGAACACATTTAGGCCTTTGGTTTCTTCTTGGTTGTGTGTGTGGGGGGGTTGTTTGGTTTTGTGTTTTTGTTTTTACCACCCCTTCCACAAATTTGAAACAAAAACAGGCCTCAAAATGCCACAGATTTCCTGTGCT